CGGCTGGAGATGCCTTAAGGCATCCATGTCAGGTTTGAACGACTTGTGACACTGTTTGCACGTTGCGACATGACTGGCCATTTATCAGCCCATTGATCGAACCTAGTGGCTAAATTTTGTGCCTCTGCAGCTATTCTCTCATCAAGCTTGTTGGATCAGGTATTGCAGCCGGTTGTAGATCTTAGACCATTTCTCTTCTCTCGTGTCTCATCTCTGTTTGAAGTCAGCATAAATCTAATGTGGTAACTTCTATAGGCCTCCTACATTATCTTGTTATACTTGCTCTTAGTTGTCAGACAATGCCGCCGGCCCGTAAGACAAGTGGCTGACAACATTTTGCCACTAATGGATATACATGTTGCGCTGCCAAAAACTATCATGTTGGGCAAGTTTGAGATACTTAAAGTAGAGCTGTCACACCTATGTTAGAACGTTTCGGCCCTCGAATCCGGTGTACGCGAACAATGCTCATGGCATTTAGTAGGCGCAAGGACCTTAATCCGGATAGAAGCCAACCGAAGCTGAAGCGCACACTCCATGCGTCGGACACCGGTGAGGCCCATTAACATATTTATTTTTTATTTAAAAAAATTCTTTAGGAGAAAAATATATGATCAAAACACTTTAATAAATATAAAATATATAATTTATCGGTCAAGAAAAAAATGTTTCAACTAGATGTAAAAATGTCTTCATGTTTGATAAATTTATTTATGTATACTGAATAAAATATCCATGAAAATTATCGTAAAGTGCTCGAGTATAAAAATAAACCATTTGAAAAAAATAAATCTATATTATAATTTGGAATAGTAGACTGTATTTTTGTAAAGATATTCTGGTGTTTATGAAAGTGTCCATGCTTTATAACTAAATAAGTCGGAATGAGAAATAAAAATATCCAAACAACTTATCAAAAAATTTGAATCGATAAAATGGTGCACATATAAAAGGTTTTCTCAAATATGTTTCATGGTCTAAGTAAAATGTTCATATATAAAATAAATATTGCAGTAATTTATAAAATAATAATTCTGAAGTAGATTTCAACTTGTACGGAAAATGTCGAAATAATTCAACATTTTCCGTAGAAGTTTTATTTACATCAAAAAACTTCTATGGAAATGTTGAAATGTATCATGAAGGCGTGGACTATAATACTTGACACACACCCAATTCGATATATCTTAGAGCATCTGCAATCGGACTTGGCAAATCTGGCCCCTCAAACGCCCGCGGACACGCCCGGACGCGTCGGCGGGCACTGACCAGGAATGCCTCAAATTAGCCGCATTGCATCCGCCTCTCTCATATTGCATCCCCTAGGTCCATAAAAAGCATGCAAAAGAAATCCTACGTACTACATCTACATGCCACCCTAGCTACTCTTCATCGTCGGAGATGTCCACGACGACGGAGCCGGGCGCCGGCTGGACGGGCGGGTAGGAGGGCTCCGGCTCATCCTCCTCCTGACATCATCCATGTAGGCGAACATCTCCGCCTCGTCTGCGGCCTCTTGCGCCTCCATCTCATGCCGGTGATGGCGTCTTGCCTCCACAGCCGACTCCGACAAGAGGGAATCGAGTATGGCCTGCTGCTCCGCATGCAGATCCCTGTCGCCAACGTCCCCCACATCCTCCTCCCCCGGCTCGTCCCCTCCTCCTCCTCGTTCTCATCATCCTCCTCATCCATCTCTTCATCCTCCTCCTCCTCCTCCTCCTCCTCCAACTCCCTCCTTCGGATCCACTACCTCCGGAGGTAGCCCCGCGGCGATCCGGGTCTGCTCAAGGAGCTCGAGCCGGCGCTCTGGTGTCAGAAATGACACGCTCCTCACCCGGTGGCGTGGTGCCATGGCTAGTAGGTGGACTGGTGGAGTGGAATGTGGCGGCGGCGGCGAACAGGACGAGGAAAATTTGGACGGATGGTAGGGTTTTCGGTGCCTCCAGTTGACTTAAATAGCCGGACAATGCACTATGCGGGCCGCCAGAGCTGCGCCACGCGACCCACCTGTCCGGAGGAGGAGACGAGTTTCGGGCCGCCGGGTTTGAAGGCATTTTCGGCTGGGACCCTTTTGCGAGTCCGACGTGGTGGGTGTGCCCGGGCGCCCCCATATCCGCCCCATATTTGGGCTGGATATGGGGGGGTGCCTATCAGTCTGGGCGTTTGAGGGCCCTCAGAGGGGTCCATCTGGGTGGAAAAAACGTGACCGGACAGTGACCGGGCGGTCTGCCCGGGCGTATAAGGCTGGTTTGAGAGATACGGTTGTAGATGCTATAAACCGGTCAGCTACAACTACCGTCAGCATAAGCCATTCTGTGACCTTCCTGACCGGTGGAGTGGAGCACACCGCCGGTGTGCTCCTTAAACCATACGACAACAAATTTCTGTCAAGCGTTGCGAGAGGAGTAATGTGACGGTGACTCAATTCGATATTGCAAAGTTGGTGCATTCGTCCGATGGCTGATTAATACTGGTAAACGTGGTTTTTTTTATTCCATGACATGACGACCGTGGGCTCCCATGCACGCATCCACTTGGACATCAACATACATCACATTATTTTGGCAGCATTGACTTTGCCATGGCCATAAACATCTCCTTGTTGGCCGTGAAATGGGCGAGCATCTGCGCCCTGTCCGGCAGGCACGCCCGGACCTTCTCGTCGGAAGCGTACTCCTTGGCCCAGCGGCAGAGGCGAGGGAACTCCTCGGCCGTGACGAGTGTCACCCCGGACACCTCCTCGCAGACGGTGAGCCAGTGCGCGAAACCGCAGGCGGCTATGTCGACGAGGCCAATGGTGTCGCCGCCGAAGAACCTCTTCCCATCGAGCTGCACCTCCAGGAGCGCGAAGTTCTCCTTGATCTCCTTCATGAACCCCTTCTGCGCCTCGCCGTCCGTCCACATCGCCAGCCAGAACGGCTTCGAGCACTGCTCTCCCTCAGCTAAAATCAGTCCGTGCATAACCACGAATATGTACAGGACAGCTGAAACAGCTGAAACAAGGCATGTACGTACCTTGTCGTCGATGAAGCGAGCCCAGAAGCGGGCCATGGCGCGGTCATATGGGTCGGCAGGTAGGAGTCGGGGTCCGTCGAAGGCCTCGTCGACGTACTCGACGATAATGAGGGACTCGCAGACGACGTGGTCGCCATGGAGGAGCACGGGCACCTTCTTGTGGACGGGGTTGCTCGTGAGCAGCAGCTCGCTCTTGTTGTGGAGCTCCTCCAGGATAAGCTCGTAGGGAACGCCCTTGAGGCGCAGGGCGACCTCGGCGCGGTGGCTGAACGGGCTGTCGAAGGCGCCGATCACCCTGACGGCCGCCGGTGCGCTCATCTTGGCTCGCTTGCTCTGCTGGAAGTCAAGTTCAGATTGTTGGTGAGATTGTGAGGTCTCTGCGTAATGGCCGGTGACTTTGTGGTATTTTATAGCGCTTTGGACTGGCTTAATGTCGAGGCTATCTTAATCGAGTTGGTACTGAAACTTCTTCGGGAAGAACAGATTGTTTTTGTTTCCCGAGCTCAAGTCAAATGTTGCTGTCTTTGCGAGAAGCTTCCACGTTGCTTCGCTCCGGATAGAGTGATCGATAAAATATAATGTACTAAGCCCGGTCTATTTGTTTCATAGTTTTAAATAGCCGGCTATAGCCCCGCTATAGCTGTTTGAGCATGTTGACGCTAAATGATTTCTTGTACATTTGCTGCTATAGCCTCGCTATAGCCCGATGTAGCCAGCTATAACTGTTTTTAAGGGTCGCCGCTATATGGCATAGCCCGCTATTTAAAACATTGTTTGTTTTCATCGCCAAATCGTAGGGAGTTATTGCAACAGCGAGCCAAAATGAATGAGCTTCTGATAAAAAAAACTTCTCCACATAAAAAAAGCTCTATAATATTATATTTTTTAAAACAAATAATTTCATTGAATATTTTTACTTTGCTTAGCTTATGACTAAAATCAAAAAAATTACTGAAAAAGGATAATGAAGTAGATACCATCTACACTGTCCTTTTCACTGATCTCTAGTCCGTGTCTTACTACCGCATCTCGAGTTCCCGCGGCATTCTAAAACTCCTCCTCCAACTTCGATAATGTCTGTCATTGGGTCAATCTTCTAACCACAATGACATGATACGCTTTGGTTTGTGCTACCTCATTTTTCTCTATCGGCGCATCAACCTTCTTATAGGTCTCTGCAGCTGGCAATGCCACCTTGTTGCACTATTGTGAAACACCGCCTCCACCATCCATCCATTAGCTATGTTGG